GCTCAGGCTGTGTTGACACAATCATATATCGGTATACAGAATTTTCTCTTTATTGCATGAATTTTCTGTTAACTCTCTACTGCATGCATTTTGATGGCACATGGAAAAAAATTATTCCACATCATTTCTTGGCTCATTTGGGAACATTGTATTGATTTATTGAACATTTTCCCTCCCCTGACCCCCCCACCCCAAAATATTTTTTATTTTTGTGCAACAATGGTAAAGAATCATAGAGAAAATTATCATTATTCTCAGAAAACAATACAAAAATATAAATTCTTTTCCAAAAATGTCAAATGAAATCCTTTGCTTATCTCCATCCATTTCTCATATACTGTATAATTTAATGTTGTGATACTAAATTCAGCGTTCAAAACTTACCGTTTTTAGTTTTTATATCAGGGATGCACGATATATCGGCCACCATATCGGTATCGGCCGATATATGTTCATTTGTAATGATATCGGTATCGGCCTGATAAGAAAAATTGGCTGATATGTTAAAGACGATAAATAGTGGATTATGTCCTTCAGCTGAGACGCTTCAGATGCGCACTGTTCAACATGATGGTTTTGAATTGCTTGAAATATGATCAGAATCACGAAGAAAAAGAAAAAAAAAGGAAAATACTGTTAAGTGCAACGTGCAGTGAAAGTCTGTCATATCGGCTACATAAAATTATAATGAGAATATTAAAATTGTGTGTTTGGGACGTGGCTTTTAATGGTGAGACTTTTGTTTTTGTAATCAGGCTCTCAAAAATGATATAAAAATATGGATTTATTTAGATTCATCTGCCGATATATCGGTTATCGACTTTCAAATATAAAGAATTATCGGTATCGGCAAAAATGTTCATATCCTTGCATCCCTACTTTTTATACAAAATAAATTGATATTATATTAAATTAATTTTCCCCAGTGCAATGAGCCAATCACAGATAAGTTAAGTGGCATTAAATTATGTTAAAGTTTATGTAAATATAATATGACCGTAATGGATATGACCCTTTCAGATAAAAAAACCAAACAATGTAATGTCAGCCGATAGCCGCTATAGTACCGTACCGATATATTAGTGTTAATTTTGACAGCTCTTTAATTTAGTCTTATTCCTTAGCCTTTAATTTAAACATTTAGTGCCATTTGATTGGATTTGAAGGTCTTTGTTGTTGTGTTGATGTTACTGGCAAATCGGTTTCACCAGCATTGTCCGCATCAGTGGGCTTCACATGACCTTTTAATAGGCCTCGCCTATAGATGTGTGTGTGGTGTTTGTGTAAACACACTTGTGCTCCTCGCGGTCAGAAACGAGCGCATTGGAAATGAAACGGAGACGAGTTTCCTCTAGTGGAAGTGTTCGGTACTGCAGCCGAACAACATCTCGCTGAACGCTCATTTACTGAGATATCAAGCTCATATTTGGAGCACGGCTTGTTTAGATTTATTTTTTAAAATATATATTTCATCAAAAAATTTAATAGTATTTTTGTGCATTTTTTATAACAATAAACGTAAAATTCTGTATCTTTTTTTAATTAATTTTTTTTTTCACTTCAGCAATAATCTGCCAAGTGTCGTCTTTGAACAGAGACCAAACTTCAGTCTGAGCTCTAAAGCATTAAAGATGTACGACAGTTTAAGTTGGACATTTAATTTTCATGTCTAGAAAGTGAATAAATGGATTTTAAATACAGTGTAAATATTATTTAGTACCATAAAATCCCATAAAAAATAAAATAAAAAAACATTATCGAAGCAAGAAAAGACGGTTTCATCATCGCATGACTCGGTCTTCTACCCTGTTTGTTTAAACATCTTACATTTTTCATTGATATTCATGCATTTGGCTGGTGCTTTACTCCAAAGCAACTGGCATTGAATTCATTTGGTCAGTTCAGGCATTCCCTGGGAATCAGATCCATGACCTTGGCGTTGCGAGCGCCAGCTGCTCCATCAGCCGAGTTCAGCCCGGAGCCGAGAGTCCCGACACGCCTGTGCTTCTCTCGCTAACATCAGCCAGATCTGGCTCTCGTCCTCTTCAGTTCAGCTTTCTGCAGATTTGACATTTTGCTGAGTTGCCGAATGCGCTTTCAGACATGAGGGTGTTTACATTTTAGAGTCAACGGGATTTCAAAATCAACCTGGCTTTATTTAATACACTTTCTTGTGCATGATTTATATATATTTTTTTAGTAATGGACAACGATTAATCGCGATTAATCGCATCCAAAATAAAAGTTTGTGTTTACGTAATATGTGTAAAATTATTTTCTATATATAAATACACACATACATGTATATATTCAAGAAATATTTGCATATACTGTATAAATATTTATGCATAATTTATATTATATTATTTATATATATATATATTTATATCAAATAAAACAATTCTTAAAAATATACAAATGTTTGTGTGTGTGTGTGTATGTATATATATATATATATATATATATAATAATTATACACTGTACACACGCATATATTATGTAAACACAAACTTTTATTTTGGATCGCGATTAATCGTTGCCCAGCACACTTTTTTTTTTTTTTTTTTTTTTAAGAATTGATGCATATGATCCAAACAGCAATTAAATGTTTTTGGAAGGAATATGCAAATTTCATGTTACCTGCTAAGATCCAACTACGCAAAACACAAATGACTTTGAAACAACTATCACTCGTATATTGCAAGTAAATTTCACAGATAATTGCAAAGTAACACACTGAATTAAAGAAGAAACACTGAAATAGTCTCTTCTTGAAAGATGTACTCCAGTTATCGTTGTTTATCTGTTTTCAGCGAAAGGAAAAGCCGAAGTTGGTGTCTGTCGGTCTGCATTGGTGTCGTTGAGTTTAATTAAATCCTGTTTTGTAATTGGTCTGATCTGCTGCATGATTGGTCTCTAACAACATTAGTTTGGTCAGAAAGTCATCCGAACCGCTGATCCCAGATGATCCCATTGATTCTCGAACGAAACGAACCCAAGAGAACGTTGATGCATGTCGACGGAGATATGGACTAATTGCTATGGAGTAGTTTAATGTCTGTTTTGAAGGAAATTGGCACATTTATCTCAAAGCTTTAGCTTTTAATTCTCTGTCACCCACCAACAAGCTTTAATTCAATTCAACAAAAGCCCATAATTAGATTATCAAATCGGCTCGTCTGGTGCTGAAATCGAATGGCACGAAATGAACCCATATTTTGAAGCATGGTTGGGCTTGAGTGATAATCACAGAGCGCACTAATGGTTCTTGGCATTAAGGTTAAATAAGCCCAGGCTCACACACAACACCCTCGGCACTGTTCACACACACACTTCCCCCTCGGCACTGTTCACACACTTCACCCTCGGCACTGTTCACACACTTCACCCTTGCCCGTTTATAATTGCTATAATTGAACTTCGAGGTTTGGCATTAAGCGTAATGTCAGCTTACGCTTTCAGAGCTGTCTGTTTACAGTCATTGTAATTATTACTTGTCCTTGCTTTTCTTTTACCTTATTTGAAATTAACGTTAATGCCTAATTATTGATGAAGCACTGATTCTCTTCTAACTCTGGATACTGTTTTTGTTTCATAGGCCTACAAGCTTCCTAATACTGCTATTCATCTTATAAACTTGAATTAAACGTAGATCTTGGATCTTATAAAATGTTGTATATATATTATATAATTAAACTAATATATTATATAGACTCATTACATGCAAAGTGAGATATTTCAAGCCTTTATTTGTTATAATTGTGATGATTATGGCTTACAGATATGAAAACCCCAAAGTCAAAATTAGAATATTGTGAAAAGGTTTTCATTTCTGTAAGCCATAATCATCACAATTATAACAAATAAAGGCTTGAAATATCTCACTTTGCATGTAATGAGTCTATATAATATATTAGTTTCACCTTTTAAGTTGAATTACTGAAATAAATGAACTTTTGCACCATATTTTAATTTTTCGAGTTTCACCTGTATTGTGTTATTTATTGTTATATATATATATACACACAAATGAATGTGAAACCTTTATTTGCTCAAAAATATTTAAATGCTCCCAGAATTTAGTTAAAATACAGACTTGTACTAAATATATACAATTCCTCAGTGTTACTCCAAGTTAATATTATTGATGTACATTTTATTTATGCATTTTAATTAAATATAAAATATTTAAAAATATATATATATAAAATATAAATATTCACCAATATTACAACTTATGGTAAATGTAACAAAATATTTAATATAGTTTTATGTTATAAAGTGTTTCTCCAAGTCTTTGTATTTTTTAAACTAAATTCTGGGAGCATTTACATAATGTTTCCCATTTGTTTGTTGGGCATCTCATATTAGGGGTTATTCACTGTCACCATACAGTAATAATCATAAAACTTTACAATAAGGTTCATTAGTTAACATTAGTTAATGTATTAACTAACATGAACTAACCAATGAGCAATACATTTATTACAGTATTTGTTAATCTTTGTAAATGTTAGTTAATTAAAATCCAGCTGTTCATGTTAGTTCACGGTGCATTAACTAATGTTAACAAGATTGTAATGAAGTATTAGTAAATATTGAAATTAACATTAACAAAGATTCATTTTTAAGTATTTAAATATGAACTAAGTAAGTGTTATGGTAATGTTTTGATAGACAGAGGTGTAAAGTCCAGGTTCAGAAAGTAAAAGTCGTCCTCAGTATTTTGTTCCAATCACTTGGATTTGCTAATGAAAAAATTTATATTTTTATGGAGTCACCGTTTTAATAAAGCAATAAGCCCTTTGAAGCCGTGGTTTACAGTGAGTGTAGGGGTTTTAGACACAACAACGGCCCTCAGCTGTTCTACACTCACTGTAATCACGGCTTCAAAGGGCTTATTGCTTTATTAAAACATGAACTTTGGTTCGGACCTTGTTGTGAAAACGCCCGTATTATGGTGTGGTGATCTAACAGATCCTCTCTGTAATGTCCCACAGATGGAGTCTCCGGTGTCCACGCCGGCACCGCCACCGCTGCACCTCCTCGCGCCGGTCCTCAGCGCCGACGTGTCGTCCTCGTGCGAGCAGATCATGGTCCGCACGCGCTCCGTGGCCGTCAACACCTCTGACGTGGCCCTGGCCACCGAGCCCGAGTGCCTGGGTCCCTGCGAACCGGGAACCAGCGTCAACCTGGAGGGCATCGTCTGGCAGGAGACGGAGGACGGTGAGAGGACCGGTTACACATGTCATCGCTGTTGTGTGAAAGTGCGAGTCTGTTCAAAGGAAGACTAGGGGGAAACGCAATCGAATTGTGATAAATATTGCAGTTATGATTTATATTGCTCCAGGTTCAGGGCTCGACATTAACACTTAAAGGGTTAGTTCACCCAAAAATGAAAATGATGTCATTAATGACTCTCCCTCATGTCGTCCCAAGCCCGTCAGACCTCCGTTCATCTTCAGGACACAGTTTAAGATATTTTAGATTTAGTCCGAGAGCTTTCTGTCCCTCCATTGTAAATGTGTGTACGGTATACTGTCCTTGTCCAGAAAGGGAATAAAGACATCATCAAAGTAGTCCATGTGACATCAGTGGGTTAGTTAGAGTGTGTTGAAGCATCGAAAATACATTTGTGTTAAGAAAAATGTGTTATTTATATGTTAAATATTTATGTATAATATGAATTCTGTATAAATATATATATACATGCAAATATTTTTTTAAAATATACATGCATATGTGTGTATTTATGTATACAAAATAATTATACACAGTACACACACATATATTATGTAAACAAACTAAAATTACATCAAAATTACTAACACTTATAACCACTATAACCTAAATAAAAATAAAAACAGAAAAAATGTCATTTATAATATTAATAAAACTATAATCATATATCAGTGATACTAAATTAGCACATATTGTGTCATCATATATTAGTCATATTGCGTTTTTGGTGTTATTTAGATGTAGCCCTAATGAAGACAGATTTAAACTGATAGATCTGTGTGATCACAAAGCTTATTTATTTATTTATTCCTGTTATCTCAATCAAATTAGTAGTACGCACATTGGATGATTTAGATCTCGTCAACCTCCACTAACGCTCTCGATTGGCTAGTTTAGACTCAGATTTCTCAGGACGCTTATTTCAGTGACATCTGTCGGCTCGCAACAATGTTTAATATGGATTTCCAATAGCATATTGTGTATATATAAATAATCAAGCCTGTTTTGTGCTTGTTACCCATCTAGAGAAGTGCACACTAGAGAAATCACGCTTATATCTGCTGTGTTTTGCTCCCTGGACGCTAATTCCAGCTCGGCTTGAGCTGGTGCAGGTGACTGACAGAAACGGCCTCGTTACGCAATAAAAACTGGTGTTTCTCATCTAGGACCCGAGCCAAACAGTTCAGAGTTAAGCGTCAGGACTAGACATTAGCCGTCTGCTTGTGTTTGTGCTGTAAACAAACAAATCCAGACATTTGCAGTTTGATAAAGCTGAACCTCGCTCTGTTTTTCACTCCTCAATCCTGTGAAGTGTGTGTGTGTGTTTTGTTTGCTGTGGTAGTTGCTGTCAAACTGTCCCCCCGGGGCGAGTTGTATTTTTTATAGGCTAGCAGGCATTTACTGGCAAATTAACCTGACAATTCAGGTTCTGTTTTAGCAGTGTCAATAACACACAAGTCAGTCTCGCTGTGCTATTTGGCTGATTTCTGTTATTTGAACACCCGGACACATTTCGCCCGTGTTGCGATCATGCAGAATCGCTTTGACTGAAAATATCATGCGAGGTCAAAAGTGCTGCAATCTTAATGCACAGATCCGATCTTTTGGCCTGTCTGTATACAGTGGTGTGAATAAGTTATTACCCCCATGCTAAAGTTGCCTAAAAAGAGGAATAAAAAATCATCTTTTGGAAATTGATCTTAATGCCTTAATTAGAAAAATGAGGAAAAATCCAACCTTTAAGGACACCAATTTTCTTTGTGTATGAATAATGTATCATAAATAAATAAATGTTCTTCCTTAAAATACAGGGTGCATAAGTCAGGCCCCCCCTATGTTAAATTCCCATAGAGTCAGGCAGATTTTTATTTTTAAAGGCCAGTTATTTCATGGATCCAGGATAATATGCATCCTGATAAAGTTCCCTTGGCCTTTGGAATTAAAATATCCCACATCATCACATTCCCTTCACCATACCTAGAGATTGGCATGGTGTTATTTCAGTTAGCCTAATAGCTGGTTTGATTTGCATTGAAAGATGATCTTATGGAAAGTACCCCATGCCAATCTCTAGGTATGGTGAAGGGAATGTGATGATGTGGGTCTATTTTAATTCCAAAGGCCAAGGGAACTTTATCAGGATGCATATTATCCTGGATCCATGAAATAACTGGCCTTTAAAAATAAAAATCTGCCTGACTCTATGGGAATTTAACATAGGGGGGGCCTGACTTATGCACCCTGTATTTTAAGGAAGAACATTTATTTATTTATGATACATTATTCATACACAAAGAAAATTGGTGTCCTTAAAGGTTGGATTTTTCCTCATTTTTCTAATTAAGGCATTAAGATCAATTTCCAAAAGATGATTTTTTATTCCTCTTTTTAGGCAACTTTAGCATGGGGGTAATAACTTATTCACACCACTGTACATTCACTTTAGACAGGACTGGTATCCGACATCTGTCTACAGGTGAAACTCGAAAAATGAGAATATGGTGCAAAAGTTCATTTATTTCAGTAATTCAACTTAAAAGTTGAAACTAATATATTATATAGACTCATTACATGCAAAGTGAGATATTTCAAGCCTTTATTTGTTATAATTGTGATTATTATGGATTACAGATATGAAAACCTTTTCACAATATTCAAATTTTGACTTTGGGGTTTTCATAAGCTGTAAGCCATAATCATCACAATTATAACAAATAAAGGCTTGAAATATCTCAATTTGCATGTTATGAGTAGGGATGTCCCGATCAGGTTTTTTTGCCCTCGAGTCCAAATCCGAGTCATTTGATTTTGAGTATCTACCGATACCGAGTCCCGATCCGATACTTATATAACACATAAAAAAAGAATAAAGATGAGCGAAAAAAAACAGATCCAGGATGTTCCTTATTTTTTATTTAATTCACCATATTTTAACATTCAACAAATCAGTTAACAAACAGAGCACTTCTGTGAGGGAGCTTGAACAATCAAATAATAAATAACATAAATTCTTCACTTTTGGACTTTAGTGCAATAGTAAATATAGAAAAAGTCTAATATAAAAACAAATAGCACCTCAACTTAAAATACCCGGCAGGCATGTAAACAAAAAATAAAAAGTCTTTAAAAAAAAAGAGAGAATATATATATACATTAGGGGTGTAACAGTTCACAAAATTCGCAGTTCGATACGATACAGCAAAAAGAAAGAAATGCCTGAGAAATTTCCTATTTATTAAAAGAAAAACTATTTTTAAATAAGTTTGAGTTTTCCTACATCTTGAAACTTTCAGGTTTATAAATGGGGGTAATCTTTGAAGGATGAACAAATAATGTTTTGGTAATCACATTAAAAATAACATTTAAATATATATTTATATAATATTTGAGTTTTGAAGTGCAACATTAGCTCCATGTTCATTCACGGCACAGTGTTTCTCCTGGTTCCCACGTCAGCGCTGTTTGATCTAATAGAGATCTACGGTTAATAACGGAGAAATGTGAACGCTTCTCACTAGATCTCGCAGCGATGTTATTACTTCAGTGGCGGATTCAAATGTTTTCTTCACTGGATCTCTCAGCACAGTGTCGCTTGATCTCGCGCTGCACAGATGTTGCTGGTCCGAAATATAATGAGTAGCGTAGTTTCGTTCCGCTTTCATTACGTTTGCCATTTGATGTTGCGCAACGTTGTGGTGGTCGCGCCAGCGCTGATTTTGTCGGCAGGAAAAATGGTCCTAGGAATCGTTCGGTTTGTATGCGTACCGAACCGGAAGCCTCGTACCGAAACGGTTCAATAATTACGAATACATGTACCGTTACACCCCTAATTTACATATATCCGAGTCCTGATCGGCAGGTAACGTCCGATTCCGATCGAGTCTGAAACCACGTGATCGGGCCCGATTTCCGATCGCGTCATCGGATCGGGACATCCCTAGTAATGAGTCTATATAATATATTAGTTTCACCTTTTCAGTTGAATTACTGAAATAAATGAAGTTTTGCACCATATTCTAATTTTTCGAGTTTCACCTGTACATTAATTCCCACCCAAAATGATTTTTGGTGATAATATGCACATGGTAGACCCTGGTTTTGAATGGACGTGCTATTAGAATTATTTATATAATTCATGTCGGGTGGTCATGATTATTCGCCAGCATGGACAAGAAGTCACGACTCGTGAATGTTTTGAGAGGGAGAGAAAGCGCATGCGATCAGATGTCCAGATATCGGATGTGTATCTGATTTAAAGACACATTTGGAAGTGGCTCAGATTGGAAGAGGGAAAAATCGGATCTCGTGCGGATTTTTGTGTTTACACGCGTGCAACGAACTCCCGATCTGTGTCAGAAATGAGTTAAAGATCAGATCGTGTAGCTTAAAGGTGCTGTATGTAACTTTTCCACTCTACTAAAGCATAAAAATACCATAATATGTTTGCATATATTGAGGAAACATGCTAAGTTCACTTACTCGTTTCTCTGAAAAACACCAGTTATTTTACTTTGAAATGTGCGTTTCCAGGCTGGAATTTTTGTTTTGTTTTGTGATACTGCACATCCATTGCGCTCGTTCCTGTTGCGTGTGCTCAAACTGGCAGCGCGTGTGAGCGTCGAGTCTGAGGCGGCGGGGCGGGAGAAACCACGATCTCCGATATTTAGAATTAGACTGCAATACCTATTTCGACCACTAGCTGTCAATCTTACAGACTGCACCTTTAAACGTTCGCCGACTCGTTGCATTAGCTCCATTAGCGCCGCTCATCTCTAACGCACAGAAGTTGTGCTAGTTCACACCACATCAAATGCTTCCCGTCTTCCCCGGTCTCTTCGAATCTCCATCCATCTGGCTTTACCTCCAGTCGTGATGATTCAGTGTCAGTGCCGAGGTCTGGTGGCACACGGCCTCCATTTGACACATCATGCAGAACACAAGCCAGAGGAACGACTGAATGCGCCTCGAGAGAGGGTCACGGGAGT